TTTTTCCATAGTTTTTTTTTTTTTTTAAGCCAATCACGGTATCTGGAACTATGCCCCAACTAATCCGTTAGTCGACTTGGGACGCACACCTAGTAGTAGTGGGTGAGTCTCCCAACAAGGGTTTTTTTACATCCACAAGGACTCGAACTCGAGACCTTGCTTAAGTGACATCAAACTGCTTACCACTTGAGCCAACCCTGTTGGTAAATTTACTTTATTTATTGTAATATTTTCTTATTTCCCTTTCTTTGCCGTCTTTTTATTTATTCTTCTAGGTTTTACTATATTTCTTTTACTTCTGAAAATTTTTGTTTGGTTGTACAGTATTTATATATTATTTGAACTTTTTTTGTTTATATATATATTAAAATTTCTTAAAATCTATATTTATAATGTTTGTGTTTCAATTTTTTTGCTTTGTTTGGTTAATTTAAAAAAAAAGGTGATATGGTTATATGTTAGTACACTTTTGAGTTTATATTAAAATAATATTTAAAATTAAATAATTAAAGTTGATGGGATAAAAAAGTAGGAGAAAAATGATATGAAGTGATGATTAATTAAAATTATGTGAGTAAATGAATATTGAATTAAAATTAATGTAATTAATGTGAGAGAATGATTGAGTGATATTATTTAATTATAATGATAATATTGATGATAGCGGTACTAGTTAAAATTAAGTTTAAAAAAATAATTTATTGAAAATAATTGATTTTTTTTTAAAAAAAAAAAAAAAAACTAGTATCCAAGCATACTTTTTCTAGGATTTGAAATGAATCAAATTTAACTTTGAATTGAATAGCCTAAAAACCATTTATAGAAAACCATCCAGTAGACAGGATCTAATCTAGGCTGTAGGCTCTCTCCAAAAGTTGGGAATCCCATTAAATCTTGAAAAATTAAATTACTCTTTTGTCCTCACATATTTCATCCAGTGTTTAAAAAACCGTACCGTACCGGCCGGTAATACCGGTATTACCGGTTACCGGCCTTAGGTACGGTACAAAAACACACAAAATACCGGATTTTCGGTAATACCGTTTTGTACCGGTATTGTACCGTAAATACCGGGAAAAACCGGTCCAAAATACCGGCCATGAAAAAAAAAATTAAAAAAAAATAAAAAAATATTTTTTTTTTTAATTTAAAAACATAAAATTTAAATTGGTAGTTAGAATGTTTTATTTTATTTCATTGTAAGTTAAAATTAATGATTATGATCATTTATTTTTTATTTTTTTTGTATTTGGTATTATATATTTTTATATATAAATATATATATTATTATATTTGCTAGTCCGGTAATACCACCGATATTACCGGACGTACCGGTAATACCGCGTACCGGTGGGTAGATCGGTATGGCCACCGGTACGGTATTTAAAACACTGATTTCATCTTTGGTGAATACTTTCTCATATTTTTGGCAGGTATCGTTTTGAAAAGTTGTACAATAATTAATTTTTTTTTTTTTGTCAATAATAACCTCCATTAATAGGATAGAGATATATGCTTTGAGAAAAGATGAAGAGAATATATATGAAAAGACATAATGTATTTATTTTTAGATGAGAGTAATAACGGAAAAATATGTACAAAAATTCAAAACGTCATTTATTTAGTTAATTGTTAACAACTAAAATTACATTTAAAAAAAATAAGAGGTAGTATTAGACTACAAGAAAACATTTCAATTCCAACGAAAAATTCCAACGGCAAAAATTTCCGTTGGAAACTCCCATGAATATTCCAACAAACTTAATTTTATGTTGGAATAAGTGTTGGATTGTTGAGAAATTCCAACGGATTTTTTCCCTTAGAAAAGTTGTAAGAAATTATTTCCATAGGATTTTTCGTTGGATTTTAGCTATTCCAACGGTCGTTTTTTCTACGAATTTTTATATGTAGGAATATCCGTTGGAATAGCTATTCCAACGAAAAATATAAAAAATTCCAACGAAAAATTTCCATTGGAATGTAAGAGTTTTTTTTGAGCTATTCCAACGGAAAATTTCCGTTGAAATGTAAAAGTTTTTTTTGTAGTGTTATTTATCTGAATTTTTCATACAACCCTACTTATGATAGTTGGCACATATACACACAAGGGAAAAGCAACAACACATAAGTTGTTTCTACTTAAAACCCAGAATAATAAAGACACCAATGATCATATTTTTTTAAAGTTACATTTTCACATAATAGAACAGGCACTTGTGTTGTCATCACTGAACAGATAAGTGATTCTCTCCTCTTCTGAATTCGGGATCGTGACGGCCTGCGCGACGTTACGAACGAATCCAGACGGAGCCTTTTTGTCGTACGCTTGAGCTACGTAAGGGTGCTGCACCAGATTGTATGCTATATACGGCCACAACTCGGCTCGTTTTCCTGTGCTCTTCACCCTCTTTAGAACCTTCTTCGGGTCTACAAAACCGCTCACCGTCACGCGGTGTTGCTTCCGGTTCACATCCACACTTCTCACTCCTACAAATCAAAAAAAAGATATGGGGAATTAAATAAAAATTATACATGTACTCGGACAATAATATTCATGTCAGATAAATTTAAATCGTTAGATAATAGTAATTTTAATGAAGATATATAGTATCATGTTATGAAACAACGTACTTTAATTAAAAAAAAAAAAAGGATAAATTGTAAAATATAACTGGTATCTTGTACGCTGTGGCAATAGTAGCCACCATCTTTACGAATTTGCAATATTTGCCAACAACTTTTAAAATTTTGAGATTATTGCCTAAATCCAACCAAATTCGACAGATAAATTGCAAAATATAGTCAGTATTTTTTGACGCAGTGGCAACAATAGACATCGAATTTGGTCGGACATGGGTAATAACCCCAAAATTTTGAAAGTTGTTGGCTAATCAATATTGACAATTCGTAAAAATGATGGCTAATATTGCCACCGCCTACAAAATACTGACTATATCTTACAATAAAAAAAACATAAACAAGAAATATTACATTATATAAAGTGAGGACAATTATGGGAACCTTTCATGTTTTTGACAGCATTCTTGACTCTTCTTTCACATCCATCACAATCCATTTTCACTTTGATCTCAACCGTCTGAAAAACAAATAATAAGAGAGAATTACAAAAATTAAGCCAAAAAAAAAAAATTAATTAGAAAAATTCTCATTCATTAATTATATATATTATATATATATATAAATATGAAATAAAATACCTGCATTGGTTTTCTTTTTTTCCTAGTGCTGGTGACAATGCAAAAATTTGAAAGATAATCAAGAGCACCCATTTTTTTTTTTTTTTTGATATTTTGGTAACAATTAAAATTAAAGAGTGTTGGTATTTATGGAGTTGGAGAAGGTGGTGGGACTTGGTGTGAGTAAGGACTAGGTATGTGTTTTAGTTGATATCAAATTAATTTTTTTTATTTATTTAATTATTTGAAGATAAATAATAATTTAATTATAATGGCCAGAAAATGCGGTAATTGTATGTTGAAATAATGATGAGTGGGACAACAAAGCTTATTTATGATTTTAATATGATATGATAATGTTTATATTGTTGATTAAGTTAATCATATGGACATGGATAAGTGTTTTTAATGTAGTGTGTGTTGTGCTTTCATTTTCGTCCAGTGGGTGTGGCGCTTTGCCTTTTCCATTATTTATTGGGAGAAGCCCGCAATTATTGCTTCTTTCCAAATTCCATGATTAATGCTTAGTACTATTTGGATTCCATGTACTAAATGACTTTTTGGACCATCTTTTAATTAAAAAATTGAAATTATGGACTTTATTTGAGCAAAAAACATGTATTTGTGATGATGTTAAAAACCTAAAACATGCATGAATATACTTTTATTGCATTTTGAGTACAATCTTTCAATTTTGGCAATTATAAAATTGAGACATGAACATAGATTTTATGAACTGATACGTTTGGTTACGATTGGGTTGAACATCTTCCACCTTGAATGATCCTTCAGATCCTGATAACATGCAATATGCCGGGATAGGAGTCCCGACAGAAAACTCTCTGACGCTCATGTTAGAACTCGTTCAATTGTGAATACACAATACAAAAAATAAGCGTGAATTGTGTGTTGTGTAAATCAAGAGAACCTGACGTCCTTTTATAAGACTTGATACCTTGGAGCCCAAGAGAGTCGCCTAGAGCGCCTAGGCGGGGCCTAGGCGGCGCCTAGTCGGGCCTAGAAATCAATATGAAATACCTTATTTTTTATTTATTTAACTACCTACAAAATATAACTATCTCAATTTATAATAAATCGACACACTTAAGTCCAAATAATACTATTAATATATTTTAAAGAAAACATGAGGACAAAATAATGTAATTAGTATTTAAAAAATAAGAAAAAAAAAACTGAAAAATTCCCGTTGAGCCCGCCTAAGAGCGCCTAGGTCCGCCTACGCACGCCTAGGCGCCGCCTGGCCGCTGAGCCCATCAAGGCCGCCTAGGAGCGCCTAGGGCCACCTAGGCCCGCCTAGGCGCCACCTAGCCGCCTGGCCGATTTTTTTGGTCGATTTGTGCAAATCGGAGGCGCCCGGGCACCGCCTAGCGCCTAGGCGGCCGCTCATGTCGACTTTTAGAACAGTGCTCTATCTTGGCAAGAGTACTTTGAGCGGGTGGTTCTTTCCTTCTTACTTGGATTCTTTCCCCCTTCTACTGTTTTAGCCTCGGGTTCCTTAGTGTTGGGATCTGTGAGGATATCGTTATGTACAAGTCACACGGCGGCTGGCGGTGGTCTGCTCCCCCGGGGTTGATGAATATATGATCACTGTGTCTCATATACCATGGGATCTTTTATTGTTTAACTCGAACAACTCTTCAACTTGTAACAATGGAGCAACATGAAGAAGATAAAGCTCGAACAGAAAATTGAGAGAGAGAGAGAGAGAGAGAGAGAGAGAGAGAGAAGGGGCGTGCGTGTATATTACTACACGTTGGAGAATTCTGATCTCTTCTTCTCTTTTCCATGAGTTGAATGATGTATATATAGAACTACAGTAGGGATACTTAGGGTGTGATTGTATATGATTTGAATAGTAAAAAAAACTCAATTCAAACTCAAATTTAACTCAACTTTAACTCAACCTCATTATCATCAATATTATCAGTATAAATAAATAATATTAACTAATCATTCTTACACATCACATCAACTTTAATTCACTATTCATCCACTCACATAATTCTAACTAACTATCACTTCCAATCATTTTTTCCTACTTTACATCAAATCAATTTTAAATATTTTATATAAATATTATTTTAATATATCCACTAACAACTAACTATACCACCTTTTTCAAAATTAACTACAATTAAAAATAAACCAAATAAAAACTAATCCAATCTATAAACAATCACCTCCTTAGGAGAACAAGAATATGTAAGCCACTCTTCCAATTATTTAAATAATATTATGGTCCACTAACATAATATGATTGCAATCTCTTTTCTATCTCAAATTACATTTGAGACTCCAATTATAGTTATCCGAATTACCTCCCTATGTTTAAGATATAATGTCCATTAATTAATTCGATTACTAAAATTTATTAATATGTTATATTACGAAAGCTAGCGCTCTCGTTCATAGCATTATTATTATGCCAGAACTTAATCCACATGCATGATTTAGCATAATAATCCTTCCTGAACTCAATTTAGAAACATCATCAAACTAACGCACATGGTGACCGTAAATATCCTAACAGCACATCATACATGCAACAATATTACCCAAGACAATAAGACTATTGATCCAGCGAATTGATTCTCATCCACGTGAATCAAAGTAATAAGTACTACATGTATATATCTGTTTAATATCTTACGGGTTAATAAAACGCACTAATTAATCGATGCCTAGTTTGTTTACGATGATCGGTGTAAAACGAACTTCTCTCTGAAATTCGTTTAATACAAAAATGTACTAGTGCAACTAATCAGTCAAGACCAACCGTATTGTTGACACTATAATCGTTCTGATGGGATGTTTATTTCCATCTAGGTTGTGAACCATAAATTCTTGTTTTACAAAAGACAAGGGCGTCTCGCCTCATATGCCAACGCAGGCGCCACTTAGACAATCGGCTGCAACAGGCGGGCAAGGACAAAAAGCATGCCGCTGTGGGTCTGATACCTTGGAGAAAAACTTGGTTCAGGTTCTTGCGCGGCCAAGCCGGAAATCTTAGATCT